GTGTAGACTATGCAGAATCTGGTGGATCTGTGAACTCAGTGGGTCTCTCTCAGCCCAGCCCCTGAGCATGCACTTCTTCACCCCTCAAACCACTGCTGTACAACTGGACTTGATCAGGAAAAGCTTGCAGAATTGTGCATTCCTGAACACAGTGGTGGAGAGCTGCAGCCTGACAATGTTTGCTGAGGACACCAAACTGAGAGGGGAAGTGGACACTTGGGAAGGGAGAGCCAACCTGCAGAAAGACCTGGATAGGCTGGAAGAGTGTGCAAATAATTTCCTATCTTTCTGCACAGGCAAAACCACCGAAGTGCAGCACCAACTTGTGCAGGAGAAACAGCTGTATCCTGCTCTCCCTTGTCAAGAAGATGAAGAGCTTGCGTGCTGCTAGAAGTGAGATGTGCCACATGCTCATGGAATTTGAATCCCCATCTGGAGCTGCAGCCCAGGTAGCAGAAGGTCACTGCAGTAAACTCCTCTGTGCTCAGACACCAGCATTGCCATCAATATTTCAATGCTCCCCTTCATGGTACAGGCAAGGATAACAAGCTACTCTTCATCACAATTTCTTTTACTTCACAGAGGAAAGCAGAAACAATACTCTGTTAGCAAATGCAACACAATTATCAGAGTAATAATAATCAAAACTACTGCACCTTATAAAATCTTTGCTTGGTTATAAAGATAGAAAGAGTTATTTGACTACTAATGGCATTGTGCAATGAGGTCTGCAGCTTGGCAGCCATTAGCAATAATTCACTGCCACAAGGCACTTCTCAACCAACATATTCAAGAATCACAATTCTGAAAGCTTTTCCTGGTCAATCTCTGGGCATAAAAACATGAGAAAAACAAGGGATTTGTGAGGAATTAACACAGATCCTCACACACTGAATATAATATAGAGAATTGTTATAAATATGTTATAGGGCATTCACTATCAGATGTTCTAATTTTTTCTATAACACAAAACATTGATATTTTGATATTTATCATTTGATAAGGAATGTGCTAGGGCCATCCCCTACTGGGACTGAACACACAGATTCTGCACATGTTTATGTACTGTGGCAAAATTGCAAATACACAGACAAGCTCTGAAAAATGGCCATGTGATAGCTTTTGCACAAGGCAGTCTACAGGCAGAAAATAAGTCAAACATACTTTAGCAGATCAAGAAATCCTCTAGCAGTCTCTTCAGCAAAATTACTTTGAGCCTGAAGCTTCTTAAGCCTGCCCAGGACAAACCTTTTTGAGGACCATCTTGGTATTTGCATTCTGACATTGTGTTAGAAGTCTCTCCATAATAAAAACCAAACCAAAAACCCACGAACAAAAACTTTTTACCAGAAAACCTGAAAAAAATTCTGTCTGGGAAAACCTGCCCCCCATAAGACTGCCTGCTTGTCAGCCAACCATCAGCTGCTGTCCTACACCAACACTGGCAAATACCACCTCAGACTGGGCACTTCTCACAGCAGATTTCTTTGAGGAAAGCAGTTTATAAATAATGATGCTGACATGTAATTCTGTGACTATGCATTTCATATACAGCTGAGAGATTCAGTATAGCAATCCAGGGGAAGAGCAGCCAACAGCCACCATATTCCCAACAAGAACATCTGCTCCATACCCAGCAGACACAGCAGTTCAAATCACAGGCAATTCTCATGCCACATGCAGCACCTTACCCCTGCCATGTCTCATCTCTCATCTATCCTAGAGAGGGACACAGCAGTTACAGACCTGGGTAGGAGTAAATGTTCCTTCAGTAATTCAGTCTCATTTAAAAAAAATGAAAAAGTAATTCAGCAGGGTCTGAAGGTTTCAATTTCAATCATCTCCCCTTTGCCCTTTCACGTGACTGCTCCCAAAGGAAATCCTGCTTCGAGGCATCACTACTTCATGTATCTGAGTCAATAAGCCTCTGCTGTGAAATACACAATGCCAAGAGAATCTACTATCCCACTGCCTTTAAAGACACCCATCCCTACCCTACACAAACACACTGATCCCCTCTTTTGCACACACAACACTCAGTGCATAGCCTGCCAAGCACCTCCTCACATCAGGTATCCCCCAGCTCCTCCTGGCTCCTGCCAGACCCTGTGTGGCTGAGCACAGCCTCCCAGAACAGGGACAAAGCTGACCCACAAGCACAGGCCACAGAGCATTTTCTCAAACAGGTTATTTATTATTCCCAGCTATACAGGAAAAAACAGAGTGCTACAACAGTTTATACTGGCAAAGATATGTAAGATAATGCAAAAGATTTGCTTTAAACTACCAACAAGGTAGAAAATGCAGTTAGTGATGATAACAATCCTCCTCCCAGGCTTTGGTATTATAAGCAGGTGGGAAAGAAAACTTTCAAGCCACCACTTCAGTTAAAATAGATCTTTAGCTTGAAGGCAAAGAAAGATTCAGCTGCAACTGAAGCCTGGAATTTCCAAAATATGTTTTGCATTTATTAAGAAATTATTAACATCAGTAGAGAAGATAACAAGTCAATTCATACAGCAGCCCAGACTCATTTAAAGGTTGTTAAAAATGAGATTCAGTGGCAGAAGTAAGACTGTAGCTGCCATGAAATGCAGAGCACAGACATCTGGCAGAAGGCATGAAAGCAGCATCCTGGAAACACCATCTAAAATAACACTAATTTCTCCAATTGTTGGTTCAGGAAGTAAGGTCCTAGACCTCACTTTGAAGTCTAGGCAGTCCAAACTGCTGAACCAAAGCAACACAGCTACTGACCCTGTGAGTATTCACCTTCTGAAATCCCGAGTACCTTCAGCAGATGCCACAGAGAGGTGACCTCAGCCTGATCACATTAATCTGATGAAAAAGGCAGGAAAGGCATTTTTCTGACGATTCATTGCTCTCTGTTCAGCAAGTCCCACCCAAGCTGGACGGACTTAGATGCAGTCACAGAGGCCAAAAGGACATAAAATCAGAGACCTACTGCTGCATCAATCTTCACTTTACATTCCTATCTCTATTTGAAACATTTTATGTGCATTCATCAGTAAATTAAAAAGCAATAGCTCAAGTCACTGGATTTACACCAAGAGACAACTGAACACTTGAACTCATTGTTGGGAAATTTTCCTATTTAACAGCTGTTTGCCCCTTTCTACTGCAATTCCATTGCCCCCATCATCCCACATTGAATAATCTCTCCCTGACACATTCCAGTTTATACACATTCCACAATCACAGACTTTTATGTTCCCCACTCAGTCAGTTATCCAAATGATACAAATTCAGCCCCTTTGATCTTTCCTCATACATCAGTCCCTCCAGGCCCCTAATCACTTTTTTCACTCTTCTCTGAACTCCCTCCAGTAACGATGTGATTCTAATCCTCTGAAAGGAGAGGTTTTTGGCTCCAGTTCTTCCCACAGATGCGAGCAAACAAATTCAGAGAGACTCCACAAGCTCCGTGTGTAGCACTGTCACCAGCCACCACACATCAGACCGTGACACTGAAACAAAGAAGGAATTGTATTGTAAATGCTAGGGAGCCAGAAGCTGAAAGGAACCACAATGAAAATTAAAACAATAAACTGATCAGTGCTTTATACCAGGTCTTTAAAGTCACCAGGACTTTAGGGCAGTTTCCTGCTGGATGCTCTGAAGAAGCCAGGGTGACTGTCCCAGGGTTTTACAGAATTACAGCTCCTGTAGCAGCTTCATGATAAATAAATACCTCAAGAAAATGGTGCACAGAGCAAGGCCAGGGCCCTGCCCACAGCTTGAGAGCTGTTTCATAGCTACCACAGGCCAACCCTGCAGCAGCTGCAAGTGATATGAGCCCTGCTTATACTGATCTAGTGCCTCGCATCCCACCAGAGGAGGAGACACTATTCACACCTCCACCAAAGGCCCTGGCCAGCGTGAGAGCCTCCAGAGGCTACACATGACCTGTGTGCCATCATTCAGAACCAGTTCTGAACCATTTCCAAACTGAACTACAACAAATTGACTCCAATTTGACAGCCAGTAAGTAAACAACCTTTAAATTTTATCCACAGATGTGTTGCCTGATTAGTGTATTCTTTGCTACAGTTCTGGCAAAGGAAGGTACATTACAATCCACAGGACTTGCCTGTTGCAGAAAACGTCCCATTTTATGCATAGGGATTACACTGGGTCCCTAATCATACTGGAATTACAGGTATCCCAAGCTGGATCCCATGGATCCCACCACTGCCTCTACCCTGGGGAAGATGCAGATCTCCTGACTTCTTACACATCATATGAAAGCCAGGAGAAGCCTTATGCAAAAACAGATGGCAGAAACAGCTCAAAATGCTCCATTTCAATGATTAAAAGGTATCAGAGCAAGAGAGAAACAGCTTGTGTTGGGTCACAAAGCATTACATCTGAGAATGTATGTCTGGGAGGGCACTGTGCTGTGAGCATGGAGAAGATGGAATTCATCAAAGCAGGATTCAAACCATAAAAATGCTGATGGAAGCAGGATGATGGGAACTGCAGGCACAGCAGGAGCTGCATCTCAGCACCACTGCAATGGCCACTGGTGATGTGTCTCCATGGCAGCAGGGGCTGCGGCAGGACCACTGCAGGAGAAGGGACAGGCCTGATCCCAGGGGGACAGGAGGCCAAGCAGGACATCAGGACACACTCCAGTAGTGGCAGAAGGGCTCTTTCCCTCGTGTGTTCCTAAGTGAGAGACTCGAGATAAATGGAAATGAAAACACTCCTGGAAGACGGTCCATAACAAAGCCAGTTCCTGAGCCTCAGTGCCTCACACTTTCCCCATCAGATGGAGAAGAATGAGGCACAGGGATGCAGTGTAAAAACCCCAGGAGAAGAACCCCTGAAACAGGTCCAGGTGGTTAAGGGACAATTGATTTCAATGCAGCTTCAAGTGACCTCTTGCACAAGACAAAAGCATCAGTGCTGTCTGCATTCAAACTGCCTAACCAGACCAGGCTGAACACCTCAACAAATTCAAGGCTGGTCTAGTGAGAGCCTGAGATTAGCTCAGCTGGTTAGAGCATGGTGCTAATAATGCCAAGGTCCTGGGGTTCATCCCCATACAGGCCATTCACTTAAGAGTTGGACTTGATGATCCTTCTGTGAATGAGTATTTTCCAATGAAAATAAGTATCAGGCAAGGAAATGCTTGTGTCCCACTGGAACCTGTACTGGTCAAATGCATTCAATTGGACGTGGCAAATGAAACAGCAAATACAGGGAGTGGGGACACCTCCTTGTAATTCCTCCAGTCATTGTCACAACCCAGACAGACACGGGGTACAGCTTCACATGAAGACAGTGATCCTTTGGACACTTAGTACAAATGGCATGAGACACATTCTAGCTCCAAAGGTCATCCATGTACACGACACCATTACCTTGGGGTGGGGTTCAGGCTTTCTAGGATTTACTACAGAAGCCACAGACTTTTCATGGAAGTAGATAGTTCAACCATAATCAGGACCATAAGAACTTCAGCAGACTTGTTAATAATGTCTCTGGAAATGACTAAAAGATTTGAGGTCACTTTTGCTGCAATGCAATGCAAGTGAGTACAGGTTAACATAGCTAACATTTATAATGGGGTGAATCCTAGTTTCAACTGCATATTGGAAAAAAAACATAAATTAGTCAATGCTGAGATGATTAACAAGATAAGATTAAGGTTAAAACTAGAAAATCTATTAACCTGTAAATGTGGCATCTGGCAGGTCATCAGTCTTTTAAGCCTCCAGGGTGTAGATGCTCTAAGCAAACAGGAGACTGACCGAGGCAGCCAAAAGCTCTGCGTGAAGGCTAATGGATCTGTTACTGCCTTGACACATCAGAAGGGACATTACTTCTCCCAAAAACTCAGCAAAGTGAGCCACAGATCATCCCCTCAGCTTCCACTGCCACAGACTCAATGGACCACAACCTCTGGATGGGGCAGGATTTGGAAAGAAAGCTACTAAGAGGTTCAACATACAAAAAGAAGCATGAAGAAAAGAAATCAGCATCTAGAATAGCAGATTAAATTTCATGTCTATACCCTAACAGCTGTGAATTCAGCTCACAAAAAAGTTTTAGGCAGAAAAGTATATTCACCCATTCTGCTTGTCCTAGTCTGCATATATGCTTGTCATTCAACTGTCACATTTATCCATTCACTGTGTATTGTGAAAATAATTGTAAAGAATTTTAATTATGCCTCAGAAGACACATCATTTCCAGGAGAGACAGACACATGGCCCACCTGCATCTTTGAGTCTAATTTCCCTTAGGAAAATTTTCCTCTAATGCATTATTTCACATCAGACAGCCTACTACACAGAGCAACTCACCAGACTGCACTAATTGCTAACAGTTTGGGGTTTATCATGTCCTGCTTTTTAAAGCCATGTACAGAGCCAGTCAGGATTGTGAGGCACAAAGACAAGCAATTCAGAGGAATGCTGACATACAGAAGTAAGAAAACAAATGCTGAAGACGAGAAAATGAAGACAAAGAAGACAGTGATTCACTTTGTACCCCAGAGCCTCAAACTTAAGCATGGCTGTAACTGGGCAGTTCCCATCTCAATGCCAACAAGTTCTTGTCTAAGATCAAACTGAACAGGGCATTTTTGCTGCTAAGACCTTGGTTCTGTAATAGTGAGAACCTAAACGCATTACTACTCTCCCAGGACTACTGCATTGAGGAAAAGTAGAGAAAAGCTTAAGTAATTGTGGCTTTGGGAACTTTGTATCTCCCTTACTGAGTGCCCGCGCAAAATATTTAATATTTCCCTACATTTCTTTACCCACCAAAACACAGACCTAGTCATTCTAATCTGCACTGCACACACCAATATCCAAAACAAAAGACCTCTAGACCTGAAAGAGAGAGGGTTTCACAGGCAAAAGGCTGCAAAGAACAGTACCCAAGCCACTGGAGCTCCTCCTTGCTAATTATCCCAGAGTGTCCATTTGCTATGTAACCAAGGGAGAAGCGTGTCAGACTGTGGCAAAGCTGTCTTCAGCAGCTTATGGAATGTTTCTCCGAGCCCTGATGCAATTAACTGCCAGGAAAGTGCTGAGGCAGGCAGAATTAGGAAGCTATAACAAATCAAGTATATAATCCTACACCATTTACATTTAAAACAGCTGAATTGCTTTTAACTCACAGAGCTGTAGCATGTTTACAATTTCATTTCGTCTGATCTAGATGTCCTATTCCCCAACCAGGAAAATTTTAAAAATCCAGTTTCAAGGCTAAAATGGGGAAAGACTTAAAAATAAGGTACAGCTTTCCACAGCTCCCTGAGTCAGGTGGCAAGACTGGCCATCCTGAACCACCAGCACACCCTCAAAGTCACTGCAAACACTCAGAACCACGAAAAATAATCCTGATTACCCCAGAAGTTCTTGTTTAGCTCATAGGAAGTTTGAGTAACATACAATATGGAGATTGCTGGGTCCAGGAAACACTTTCCCATGAAAATAAGCATGCACAAACTCCAATACTCTTGTTGCAATATCCAGTTAGCTGCAGAGAGAGCGAAGCAACTGCTGTAAAGTGTTAAAAAGCTTTGTGGTGGGAGAGGGGGAAGGTATGAGGGGAAATGGATATTTCCATAGACTGAAGACTTTTAAGGAGGTCTATTAAAAAAAAAAAACAAAAACAAAACAACAAACCACAAACAAACACACAAACCTGCTTCTTAAAAGACAGGAAAAGCAAGGTTTGACAAGGTTTTAAGCTTAATCTACAGTGTCAGAAAAATAATATACACTACTGTCTTCAGCAATTCTGGCATAAAATGATCAGGCAGACCCAGGTCCAACAGCTACCCGGGATGCTGGGAATTTCTCTGCTAACTTAGCTGACTTTTAGCCTGGAGTGTTGGATGGACTTTGCTGATACTGCTCAGAAGATAATGCCAATTAGAAAGGAAAGCAGTGCAGAGAATCCACCAAATGCTTTTAATTCTGCCATTCACACAAAGAACAGAATTAATGCCTAAGAAAAACATATAAAAGTGACACCTGTACTCAAACAACTCATCACCATCCAACCAGCTGCACTACAACTGGGACACCCTGTGACAGGTTTTACTGATTCCCACCCATCCCCAGGACAAGAAGGTGCAGGACACCCAGGAGTGCTGGCCTTGCTGCCCAGCACTGCACAGCCACTCTCACTGCTTTAACTGCAGGAACACTGCAGATGTCAAAGGATCATGGACTTTAGTTTAGAGTTACCCGAGCTGGAGCACAGCTGGGGCTTATGCCCATATGGTAAATTTCTCTCTTTAATCTAACTTTGATAGCGAGATGTGTTAAATCTGTGATTTTATTGGCAGATACTGACTGTATTTGCCTAACCTCTGAAGCCTGATGATTGACAGTGTTAATGTACTTTTTAATAGATGAAAAGGGAAATGACAGCTTTTGGCTCACTTTCAAGCACATTTCTTCACTGCAAAATACTCTACAGCTCAACCTGCTTTTCATACAATCTAAGAAACCTATTCTTTATAGTGTTGCTAGTAACTGGTGGCATGCTGAAGAAAACTGTAGCTCAATAGGAACACTTACTGTGGGAGCTACTTTACTTCCTGAAAGGAAGACATTTTCATCCTTTCTTTAATCTCAGCTGCATTGATCTGATCTTGGAAAATCCCAGACAGCAGTTAAACATTACTTCAAAATGATTTCTCAACTCTTTCTACACCAAACAAAGCTTACCCCCAGACTTTTCAAGAGCAGCAGTTATAATGAGATACTGCTGGTTCCAGCATCAAAGGTGATCTGTATGGACTGCTGAGAGTGAGGGACTGCACTCTTCCACATGAAGGAAATTTCATAGAATCACTGGTTCTATGGTTTGGTCTAGAAGGGACATTAAAGCTCATCCCATTCCACCCCCTGCCAAGGGCAGGGACACCTTCCACTAGCCCAGGTGGCTCCAAACCCTGTCCAACCTGGCCTTGGACACTTCCAGGAATCCAGGGACAGTCACAGCTTCTCTGGGCAATCTGTGCCAGAGCCTCACCACCCTCAAAAGGAAGAATTTCTAGCAAGTCTGAAAGGGGGAAAGCTGTGGTTTGCATTACATGTTGTGAGAGACCGGCAAAGGTGTTTCTCTGCCCAGATATCCTTGTCACAAGTCTGCATCTGAGCAAGACCTAAAATTTAGAACCCAGAAATTCATGAAAGGGCTCTCCAACCATAACAGAGTAACATTTCTATGGAAAATGGGATGGCGCCAAGTCATAAGAGTCTCTGCAAAGGCCTAATTAACATGAATAACACAGCTGGATATTTTATGTATCAGCTAAGTCCCTCCTTCCTGCCACTTAAGAGTAAAAATAGTAGAATATTTTATGGAGGTTAATTCATGCTTGCTTAGGTGTGATTCCACTTTAAGAGAGGGCAGAATAGACTCTTGCAGCCATCCATATAGGAGGCACATGGACAGCCTGTCTAAATGGTGTTTGCTGAAGGAAGTCACAACATAGCAGGCTTGTCAGGGAAATATGGATAGTTGCCAGAGTATCAAAGGAATTGTCTTCTATTCCAGACTTGGGTTTCAGGGTAGATGAGCTAATATCATCACCTGACAGGTTACAAGAGAACCAGAAAAGGAAAGAGTGTGAAGTACAAATAAAAATACAAAGAAATCTAAAAGAAAACCAGCATGGTTTTATCCCTCTGATGGGTGCTTAGTTCAGAATGCATTTTGGAATGCTTCTTTACAAATATACAACATCTCAATTAATCTGAGGTGGCGGCAGCTCCCAGACCTGCACAATCCCTCTGGACCCTGCACCAGAGCACTGGCCAAGAGAAGCATCTTGCCTTGGCAGTGTATTACCCTGGGCTGCATGTCCACCACTGCACCACTGAGCCCAG